AAAGTGTCTCAAACATTGTCAAGTCGATTGTTCGCAGTACACGTTGGCTCAGAACTTCAAAGTGCAAGTGAGCTTTGGTTTGACATTGTTTTCAGTGTTTGGTTGGTTTCTTGTGGTGCTCTATCATTGGTGTGGAGGCGGGAGGCGTAGTTTTGCCCCCATCACACCGGCATCAGAAGATAGCTCGCCGAGTGGAGCTGAAGAGAGAAGATCCCTTGCTCTTTCGCAACTCGCGGAAGTGAGGGCACGAGGTCGTCGAGATGTCCTTACTCAATAGGCAGTTGTTGCTCCAGTACGACGTTGCCGGACCCGTGCTCTGGCACGAGAGGCTGGTCTTAGCGCACATCCAAAATGAAGACTACATAGTGGCCACCCCGGACCAAGACGTTCACTACGAAGAACTGTCCTTGCTCAATGCTGACCTCCGGGGGATTCGAGTGAAGCCGTCTCCACATGCACTCCCTCCTGGCATTCTTCCTGCACAGGTGTACCCCTTGCCACCCTTTACACCGGTGGAAATGGCAGCACTGAGGTTGGAAGCTCAACGAGTCCTGGCGGTTGAGAGGACGGCGCGTGGTCTCCTTGATGGGCCGGCGGCTGCTGTTGTTGCAGATGCGGGAGGGCTTCACGCTGGAACCTTGTACTGGGTGGCTGCTGAGAAGGTAGGTTCAGTCAAGTTCGGAGATGTTGTTCAGCATGTCGCAGCAATTCAGGCAGATGGTGCCAAGGCAGTGCATGTTTTACCTGACGGGGCCTCGATTTTTGTGCAATGCATTGATGGGGGACAACACAAGAAATTCATGCAAAGGGCATCAGGCTATGATCCAAGGATTGTTGGGCAGGAATATGATGCTTTGGGAAAGCCAGAATGTTCCCTCAAAGATGTGTCGGCAAAGTTTGAGGAGATTAGCATGCAGTGGAATCTCACCGGACCTCGTACTAGCAGATGGTGCATCTCATACTTGGTTGTTGAAGGGTTGGGTTTTGAGGGCCATCATGAACGTTTCAGACAACTTTGCAAGATTGAGGCATCGTCTTGGGGGGTTCAGGAGCACTATCAGCTGAGCATGATTGCAAAACATGCGTTGCAGACAGACCAGCTTGATGGGTACAACAATCTCTGCCTCGAAGTTGTGTTTAGGCGGCTCCAGACAATTGAATACGCCTATGCAGAGCGGGCCCGGGAGTTTGAGTCAAAGGCAGTTGGGGGTCGTTTGTCCTTGGAGGAGCAAAGCACTTTTGGGGGCATCACACGGCAAGCTGCGACATTGATGGTGTGTCCTCAGCTTCTGGACCATGTCAAATCAGAGGTTGAGCGTGATGCAACATTGGCGAAGAATCTCCGCAAGGCTCGCGAGGAGAGAGAGTTGGCCCGGAAGGCCAGTGGCAAGAAGAAAGCAGGTGAAGACGCCCCCTAAAGGGGGTTGGAGTGGCGAAATGGAGGAGTTCGCCGCTCTGGACCATTCATCCTCCATGCATGGCATTGGCCGCAAAACACGTGATTTGTTTCCACTTCCTTCAATTCAGCAATCAGTGCCTGCGAGCAGACACGTTTCCAGGAAGGCAAGACGCCGAGCACTGACCATCCACCATCAGGAGGAGGAGGCAAACAATACAATACAGGCCTTGAATTTGATGTATGGGTGCAATTCTTCATACAGACCGCTGATTTCTCTTGATGAGAACTTGGTTGGGATTGCAGCTGCACAGTACGACAGTTTAGAATTCATTCAGAAGAAAGTCATCGACATGGGAAAGCCACCAGATGACTTGAATGGCCCAGGGGCTCTTTCAATGCTCCGGGCCGCCAATGGCTACGGTGATGACCAGCCCGTAGGTTCATTGGCTTCGTTCAACATCGAAGCTGTCTCCATGCCCGAGGCGGGTTGGGTTCCCGTGGACCTGGCCACATTGTGGGGCAGCGACGGTCAGAGGAAAGTTGACGATTTTGTTTCGCATCAAGTGCTGCCACCGGAGAAAGCGAAGATCAAACTGGAGGCTTGCGGGGTCAGAGCACCTTACTCGGATCCTTTGTTGCGGCAGGGTCGTGTGTATCACCAGTTCCTACACAAGTTGCATGAGTCACATTTGATTGACTACAGTTTGTCCCCTGGCATAGAGAAGATAGCTTTCTTTTGCGTGACCAAGAAATCTGGCAAACTACGGCTCATTGTGGATGCTCGCAGGTCCAATGCACATTTTGAGGAACCTTCACATGTCTCTCTTACAACGGGAGATGGTTTGGGAGCCCTTGAATTTGAAAGAGATGCGCAGGTCACCATAGCGCAAGCAGATTTGAAGGACGCCTTTTACCACTTAGCAATGCCTGAGCGGTTGCGGGATTACTTCACCCTCACACCGGTGAAGGCTGGCGACATGGGCATCAAAACACTGCATGGACAGACGCTCAAACAAAACCAGAGGATCACTCCAAGGCTGGCGGTGGTCGCAATGGGATGGACATGGGCATTACATTTGTGTCAGAGCATTCATGAGTCATTAGCAGAGTCAGCTGGTCTCGCAGAGGAGGCTCGCATCCGTGATCGACAACCACCCCCACATACAGCATGTTGCCACACCCAGTATGTTGACAACCTCATCGTGATCGGCAGTCAGTCACAAGCTGTCCTCGAGGCTTACCATAAGGCCACCGAGAAGCTGAAGGCTGCAGGGCTGCAGGTTCATGAGGAGGAGTGTGAAAAAGGTGGCAAGGTGCTTGGGTGGGAGATCACCTCGGACGCCCTGTTTCAGCCGTCTCGAAGCAGGGCCTGGAAGGTGCGACTGGCGGTGCGACAGCTCCTGGCCAGAGGACGTTGCACAGGTTCCTTGATGGAAAAGTTGGTTGGGCATTGCAGCTTTTTGTGTTTGGGGAGACGGGAGTGTTTTTCAATCTTTGGGAGCGTATATGCCTTTATCCAACGTTATAGGTGGGTTCGTGAAGAGGTCAGATTGTGGAGAACAGTTCGAAGAGAGTTGCGTATTTTTGACGGAATCATCCCACTTATTTTCAAGGATCTCAAAGCACCCTGGTCTAAACAAGTGCATGCAGTGGATGCTTCGGAGTTTGGCATGGGGGCGACCGTCGCAACTCTGCTAGATGGCATGGTTAGGTCGCTTGGTCAATACAATGAAAGGTGGAGATTTAAGGACCCAACTGGAGCAAACCCTCGACAACGCATTCTGCAAGAGCAATTCACAGATGGTTCAGTTGGGGATGAGCTTTTGGTAGTGGGGGAAGACTTTAGGGAGCCTTGTGTCGTGCAGAAATTTGTCAATGTTCCATTCACCGCCGTCGAACGTGAGTGGTGTACCATTGCCAAGTTTTGTTGGAAGAAGAAGGGTAGCTTGCCAGTTTACGAGGGAAGATCCGTCCTTTTTGCTGCAAAACATATTCTTCGGAAACGTTCCAATTTTGGCTGTCGACATTTAATTTTATCTGATAGTTTGACCGCGGCTTGTGCAATTTCAAGAGGGCGGGCATCAACCTTTCAGCTTAGACAGGTTTGCAGTCAGATTGGTGCACTTAGCTTGGCTAGTGGAACTTATTTCAATATTCGATGGATCCCTAGTGAGTGGAACCCTGCAGATAATCCCTCTCGGGGCACTTGGACTCCCAGCAAACCCAAGAGATTTTTGGGCCATGGTGATCTTCCGGGCGAACATACTGGACCAACCCCTACGATGGATGGGGGACAGTCCACAACACCTCCCATCCGAAAAGTGAACCAGAAAAAGCCCGCCAAGACATGGCCTGGGCCAGTGCAAACTATCCAACAGGAAGAAATGAGACTGGCAAACACTGCAACCAGTCGGAGGGCCAAAAAGGACATGCGCGCCGAAAATCGGAAAGCTGTCGTAGCCGACCCAGTGGACAATTTGACAGCGCTCCAGGTAGCCTCCGTCTCGAAACAGTGCCTCTCTCATTACAAGCGTTGTTGGGCCTCAGTGAAACAAAGACTGTTGACAAAGCATGGCAAACTCAAGCCACCGAGAACAGTGGACAACATCCTCTGCCAAGAGCTGGACAAACTATACCACGATGGAGAGGACATCAGTTCAGCCCAGTATCTAGTGGCGGCAGTTGTTTTCTTCAACAGTTCGTTGAGAGCACCGGCAATGCAGAAGCTCCCAAAAGTGAAGCAATCTCTGAAGGGTTGGAGGAAGATGGCTCCACAACGGAGCCGGCTGCCAATCCCCTGGGAGGTGTGCGCTTTACTGATTCAATGGGCAGTCGACAGACGTTTGGTGGGAATAGCGATCCACATGGGGCTGATGTTTCTGCTTTATCTCCGACCCAGCGAAGCCTTGAGAATCAGGGCGGGCGACCTGATTCCTCCACTCTCCAAAGCAAAGGGAGGATACCAGAAGTGGACAGTCGTGCTGCGTCCGGAAGAGGTGGGCATCGCCTCGAAGACACTGGAGTTCGACGAGTCCCTTCAGCTCGACCTGGAATATCACCAAGGTTTGGGAGAAGCAGTGCAGAGATACTGTCAGAACCATCACATCGCCAAGAAACGATGCATCCTCAGTCACGACAATGCAGAACTAGTGGACCATTTGCAAACAGCACAAGAGGAGTTGAACCTGACAGCAATTCGTGCCATCCACCCCTACCGATTTCGACATGGGGGGGCTTCGCACGACTTCGTGAGTGGGCAACGCGACCTGCCATCCATCCAGCAGAGAGGACGCTGGAAAAGCCAAGCCTCGGTGAGACGCTACCAGAAGGGCGCCAGATTGACACAAGTTTTTGGCGCTCTCCCAAAAGAAGTTCAACAAAGGGCCATGGACGCTGCGGCAAACATGTCGAGCATTTGGCTGAGGGTGCGCTAGACATGAGTGTTCCTTTCAGCCTGAAGCCATCGGTTTTTCTTGAACTTTTTAGCGGCAGTGGTCACTTGGGAAAGGCCGTGGTTCTTCACAACAACTGGCCAGTTTTGCTGTGGGATTTGTCTTTGGGGGGGAAATATGACCTTCGGCTACGGAGGAATCGATGCTTGATTGCCGGGTGGATTCGTTCTGGTACAGTCCGGGCTGGCCACTTAGGTACTCCTTGCAACACTTTCTCCCGCGCACGTGATCGGCCCCCGGGACCAATGCCGTTGAGGAGCGATGCTTGCGTGTTGGGGCTCCCTAATTTGTCACCAAAGGACCAACAAGCGGTGTCAGAAGGTAACCTTTACATGCGTTTCTCGGTCTTCATTCTGCAGCTGGCTTTGCTCATGTGCATCCCCTTCACTCTGGAGAACCCAGCCAGATCCCGTATCTGGCTGTGCCCCCCAGTGTTGAGGCTTCTGCGAAGACGGAAAGTACAGCAAGTTTTCTTTGAAATGTGCATGTTTGGCACACCATGGAAGAAATCCACTTCACTTGTCGGGGTTCATATTCAACTTGAAACAATCGGGCAACACCGCTGTATCGGCACCAAACGGGGCTGTTGCAAACGCACCGGCGATAGACATGTGGTTTTGTGCGGTTCTGATGCCAAAGGCAATTGGAAAACCAAAAGAGCGCAAACATATCCACATGCTTTTTGTCAATCTTTAGCCCGATGCTTTCTAGACTTTGAAGTGCAAACACGGGCAGAAATTTTTTCAATGCGGCTTAAATAGCCAGAAGTACTTTCAGCAATGGGTG